CCTCAAACAGCGAGTCTGCATCGGTGCTGACTTGAGACCGGTCTCTACCTGACCGGAGTCACGCTGTATGTGTCCGTCGGGAAACAAGCTGTTTACAAGTAGTTCCAGCAAACATCCACTGATACACTACGATGTTAACAACCTCATGATGACCTCATATGTTTTTAACTTAGGATCATACCTGTGTTTAGTCTAGAAAAAGGTAAATGTGTGCATTTTATTATAAAGTTGTGTATATTTACAGACTGTTGCAAAAACTAAGAAGCTTATAAACATCAGGTTTAAAACTAAAAAAGCTTTGAAACACAATGAAAGATGTTTGGAGTTTTATTTGAGTTATTCATTTAAACTTTTTCTCTAAGAGATGCTGATTTGAAACCGTTGTTACATACAGTTACGGCATTTCCTGTTTCTGCCGGAGAGAGGGAGGCCGTCCCAAAGCTTGCTGCTGTATTTACTCCCTCCATCTGACAGGAGGGAGCCTCGTTGAGCTGCGAGTGTGGCTACAGACGGAGTTCACTCCGTCACGGAGGGGTAGGGTCGAGGGAGTGGTTTGGGATTGGGCCTCACTCTGAGTCCCACCCCACAGGAAGTAGAGTGTACTTCCTCTGAGTCCCACCCCACAGGAAGTAGAGTGTACTTCCTCTGAGTCCCACCCCAGAGGAAGTAGAGTGTACTTCCTCTGAGTCCCACCCCACAGGAAGTAGAGTTTACTTCCTCTGATGTCTCCACCCCACAGGAAGTAGAAGTGTACTCCTCTGAGTCCTCACCCCACAGGAAGTAGAGTGTACTTTCCTCTGTGTCTCACCCCACAGGAAGTAGAGTTTACTTCCTCTGTGTCTCACCCCACAGGAAGTAGAGTGTACCTTCATCTGAGTCCATCCCAGTGAATAAGAGTGTACTTCCTCTGAGTCCCACCCCACAGGAAGTAGAGTGTACTTCCTCTGAGTCCCACCCCACAGGAAGTAGAGTTTACTTCCTCTGTGTCTCACCCCACAGGAAGTAGAGTGTACTTCCTCTGAGTCCCACCCCACAGGAAGTAGAGTGTACTTCCTCTGTGTCTCACCCCACAGGAAGTAGAGTGTACTTCCTCTGTGTCTCACCCCACAGGAAGTAGAGTTTACTTCCTCTGTGTCTCACCCCACAGGAAGTAGAGTGTACTTCCTCTGAGTCCCACCCCACAGGAAGTAGAGTGTACTTCCTCTGAGTCCCACCCCACAGGAAGTAGAGTGTACTTTCTCTGTGTCTCACCCCACAGGAAGTAGAGTGTTACTTCCTCTGAGTCCTCACCCCACAGGAAGTAGAGTTACTTCCTCTGTAGTCTCACCCCACAGGAAGTAGAGTTTACTTCCTCTGTGTCTCACCCCACAGGAAGTAGAGTTTACTTTCCTCTGTGTCTCACCCCACAGGAAGTAGAGTTTACTTCCTCTGAGTCTCACCCCACAGGAAGTAGAGTTTACTTCCTCTGAGTCTCACCTGTTGTTGAGGAAGGCCAGTGCTGTGATTCCAGAGCCCCCGTCTTCATTAACGCAGCGCAGCGAGCCCTCCACTGCATCCCACAACTGGAACCAAATATGAGTTTCAATCAATTTCACATTTCTTTCTTAAAGTGCATGTAACATTGCGGTAATTTGAATTGATATTTCAAACATAACATTAGAGGAGGTAGTGGTTCAGTAACCAGCTCCAAACTCTAAGCTGCTCTTAATGACAATAATAACATTTTAATTTCAAAAGTGTCCAAGAACAAGTCTTTCTAATTATCATTAGGCGTGATAAGGACGAAAGCATCTCTTAGTAGCGGATGAGAAGCTCATGTTTCACCTGTAATACTTACTTGTCATAATGGTCAAATGTGAATGGAAGACTGAGATGTCTTAAAATATCTTTCGAGTAACTTTCAAGATATTCAATCTCCACCCGAGTGGACAGTGAGACAAAAAGACACGAATAAATATATAACATAATGTTTGATCATCAACAAGACCTGAAATAACATATGTGACCTGCTCTATCGAAATCAGTCGCATTGACCCGAAGACACATTTTGAGTTGTATACACTGCTGGAAAGAGGAGATTCCTAGCTTTCTAATGATATCAGGATTGTTGTTGTACTCCAAATATTAAGCGAAATATGTCACATTATATGATGACTGTCACCGAGTCATCATGTTGAGAAAAAGGCCTTCAAAGTTTTCCTCTTCTCTGGAATCCATCGATCTGATTGGTTATTAGCAAATGATCAAAATACTACGGAGGGAAGATATTTTCGTTTGGATTACTGGTCTGGGGGAAGCTCGCGAGTGTGTGTGTGTGTGTGTGTGTGTTGTGTGTGTGTGTGTGTGTGTGTGTTTGTGTAATTTTGCGTTTGTTTCCCGGGGAAAACCCTCACGAGAAACACCGGCTGTTGTTACGCCTGCTGTGACGTCAAGTTACTCCGTTCTCCGCTTGTAATTATGCCGAAGCTTCAAAGTTGTATTTATCATCTGAATTTGCCGAAACAAGTTTAATATTCTGAAAGACTTTGTTTATTTGAAATCAGATGAAAACAAACTGTAGCGGACCCTGCCGTGTTATCTATGATTACTATACTCTTACATTCATAATGTCAGCCGGAGGGAGGGGGGGCGGCGCTGCGGAAGAGCAGATTGCAAATGAGAGGTGCCTGTCTTCGTCCCTTTACAAGCTTCAAAAATGTATTTATCGTGTGATTTTGGAAATAAAAGTTTCATATTCTGAAAGCCAAGACTTTGTTTATTTAAAATCAAACAAAACACCCTGAACCCCGAAAAAATAGTTTTTTACGCAAATCCACGTTTATTTTGAAATGAGCCGTTGCGACTTTCGACTGATTTCGATAGAGCGGGTCACATATTTGTTCAGGTCTTCGTGTAAAAATGGATACATACACAATATTATATAATTCTGAATTTGTTGTTTTGTCTGTCTGACTGTTTTGGGTTTTTCTGTAAAGCGACCGTGGGTCCCCTGAAAGGCGTTATATACATTTCAGTTATTATTATTATTCCTCCACGCACCTCCAGCTTCCCGCTGCTCCTCCCTGCAGCGATCAGGTTTCCTCTGAGCTCCAGCGCCCACACGGAGCTCTCCCAGTCGGCGGTGGCCTGCGTCCCCGCGGCGGAGCCTCTTTCTGGGGTCAGCGAGGCAGAGGCGTCCCCTCCGCTGAGTCTCCTCTGGAGCGGGACCCCTGAGGGCGGGGAGGACGAGGCCGAGGGGTACGTGGAGGGGGAGGGGGGCTCGTGCTCGATGTAGGCGCGCTCCACCAGACCCCCGAAGTCAAAGCCGTCGCGGGGCGGGGTGCAGAGGTGGGAGGGGGGCGGGGTGCAGAGGTGGGACGGGGGCTGGGAGGCGAAGTTGGTGTCGATGAGCGGCGTGAGGTCGGGCTGGTCGGTGAACAGCGTGGGACGGGAGGGGGCGGAGCGGCGTCTCAGAGGGAAGCCGTCCTCCTCAGAGAGCCCGTCGCTGAGGGGGGGGTCGGAGCCCAAACACTCAAACTCTGAGGCTCCGCCCACACCGTCCCAGCCGTCCCGCTGATCCCAGAAGCCACTGCTGCTGCTGCTGCGCTTCAACCTGAGGACCAATCAGAGTAGAGCTCCATCAACACTACTGTTTGTCACCGCCTTGTTTCACTCAAAGTGCAACATATTTTACTAATAATGCCGGTTTATAAACTATATAAACCGGCATCACCCGAACCCTCTCTTTTTATGATGTATTTATTGTTATTTCCTTGCTTTTATTTGTATGTTTAGTTCCTACACCAGCACATAATGTGACCACCAGAGAGCACTGACAAGTTCATGTTTGTAACTCAAATGTCAAATGTCCTGCTCATTACATAGTTTAATTACAATTCCTTAAATACAAAAAATTAAAAGGGACTCAAATAATATAGAAAACAGCCTCAAAAATGCAGTATTGTCTGTGCTGTCATTCAAATAATTATATTTACATATTTGGCTTTATAAAATGCTGAGGTGTGCTGTTATTATACCATAAAGACTGATGGTGACTGAAAAGGATTAAAGTAAAGATTAAAATAAAAAGCACTGGACAGATTTAGCACTAAGAAAATCTGACATATATAATAAAATCAGTATTGTGAAAGTGCTCACCCCTGGTGTGGGATGACGGTCAGACAGTCTCCAGTCTGAGCATCCCAGACCCGGATCTGACCCGCCAGACAGCAGCTGGCCAGAAGCATCCCGTCGCTGGCCAGACACTCGATGTCCTGCAGCACACAAACACAGAGCGTGAGCCAAGAGGACAGACACATGGAAGAGTTTTACTCAGTCTGTGATGGAAGTTATAACTCCAAAAAGTACGATTTCTGCCTCAAATTTATCTTAGGCAGTATTTAGCCTCCCCTTTTATTTTTTTTCCCACAACCCTTGTTGGGAGGCTGTTGTCTTCCTCCTGATGTCCGTCCATCTCTACTACAAAAACCTGATCTAAAACAGCCTCATGGTCTAAATGCTGTCTGGAACAATGCTTTAAACAATGCTTTAAAGGTCCCCTATTATACTGTTTTTCATCAATATATCACAGGTCTCAGATATATACAGAGCCTGTCTCTGATTGGCTGAAACACCAAACAGATCATTGCAGCATTACCCATAATCCCCTCTGTTTTCAGCCCTGTTTCCAAAGTGCTGATTCTCTGTCTGTTACTTTAGATGATGAAAATAAGGAGCCCCTCCCCAACGCCCCTAGCGAGAGAGATTTGGTTACAAAAGAACTCAATGGTGCTCTAGGAGGAGATTTCAGGTGATACAGGGGGGGGGGTTACCTTGGTTGCTGAGTGGCTAATGGTTACTCAAAGACAACCACCATCGTTATGAACATCATAAAGTGGCCAAAATCTGATCAGCTCATTTTCAGACAGGTTTTATAGAAATGGATCAAAAAGAGAGAGATCTTTGTTCCTGAAACTTTCCAGAGTCTCTTTCCACTAGAGGGGGACACATTGGTTGATGTAGAAGAGACATGAAGAGAGGGGACACATGTTGATGTAGAAGATCACATGAAGAAGAGGGGACACATGGTGATGTAGAAGAGAACATGAAGAGAGGGTGGACACATGTTGATGTAGAAGATACATGAAGAAGAGGGGACCACAGTGGTTGATGTAGAGATACATGAAGAAGAGGGGACACATGTTGATTGTAGACGAAAACATGAAGAAGAGGTGACAAACATGTTGATTGTAGAAGAAGCACTGCAAGAAAGAGGGACAGGGGACACAATGTTGATGTAGATACATGAGTAATAGGGGACACATGTTGATGAAAGAGGGGACACATGTTTGATGTATAAGACCCAGAGAGGGAACACCATGTTGATGTAGAAGACACATGAAGGAAGAGGGGACACATGTTTGATGTAGAAGAGACATGAAGAAGAGGGGACACATGTTGATGTAGAAGAGACATGAAGAAGAGGGGACACATGTTGATGTAGAAGACACATGAAGAAGAAGGACACAGTTGATGTAGAAGACACATGAAGAAGAGGGGACACATGTTATGTAGAAGAGACATGAAGAAGAGGGGACACATGTTGATGTAGAAGAGACATGAAGAAGAGGGACACATGTTGATGAAGAAGAGACATGAAGAAGAGGGGACACATGTTGATGAAGAAGAGACATGAAGAAGAGGGGACCATGTTGATGTAGAAGAGACATGAAGAAGAGGGACACATGTTGATGAAAAGAGACTGAAGAAGAGGGGACACATGTTGATGTAGAGGAGACATGAAGAAGAGGGGACACATGTTGATGTAGAAGAGACATGAAGAAGAGGGGACACATGTTGATGTAGAATGAAGAAGAGGGGACACATGTTGATGTAGAAGAGACATGAAGAAGACGGGACACATGTTGATGTAGAGGAGACAATGAAGAAGAGGGGACACATGTTGATGTAGAAGAGACATGAAGAAGAGGGGGACACATTGGTGATGTAGAAGAGACATGGAAGAAGAGGGGACACATGTTGATGTAGAAGAGACATGAAGAAGAGGGGACACATGGTGATGTAGAAGAGACATGAAGAAGAGGGGGACACATGTTGATGTAGAAGAGACATGAAGAAGAGGGGACACATGTTGATGTAGAAGAGACATGTAAGGACAGAGGGGACACATGGTGATTGTAGAAGAAGACATGAAGAAGAGGGGACACATGTTGATTGTAGAAGAGACATTGAAGTAATAGGGGGACACATGTTGATGTAGAAGAGACATGAAGAAGAGGGGACACATTGGTGATGTAGAAGAGACATGGAGAAGAGGGACACAATGTTGATGTAGAAGAGACATGAAGAAGAGGGGGACACATGTTGATGTAGAATAGACATGAAGAAGAGGGGACACATGTTGATGTAGAAGAGACATGAAGAAGAGGGGACACATGTTGATGTAGAGGAGACATGAAGAAGAGGGGACACATGTTGATGTAGAAGAGACATGAAGAAGAGGGGACACATGGTGATGTAGAAGAGACATGGAGAAGAGGGGACACATGTTGATGTAGAAGAGACATGAAGAAGAGGGGACACATGGTGATGTAGAAGAGACATGAAGAAGAGGGGACACATGTTTGATGTAGAAGAGACATGAAGAAGAGGGGACACATGTTGATGTAGAAGAGACATGAAGAAGAGGGGACACATGTTGATGTAGAAGAGACATGGAGAAGAGGGGACACATGTTGATGTAGAAGAGACATGAAGAAGAGGGGACACATGTTGATGTAGAAGAGACATGAAGAAAGAGGGGACACATGTTGATGTAGAAGAGACATGAAGAAGAGGGGACACATGTTGATGTCGAAGAGACATGTAGAAGAGGGGACACATGTTGATGTAGAAGAGACATGAAGAAGAGGGGACACATGTTGATGTAGAAGAGACATGAAGAAGAGGGGACACATGTTGATGTAGAAGAGGACATGAAGAAGAGGGGACACATGTTGATGTAGAAGAGACATGAAGAAGAGGGGACACATGTTGATGTAGAAGAGACATGAAGAAGAGGGGACACATGTTGATGTAGAAGAGACATGGAGAAGAGGGGACACATGTTGATGTAGAAGAGACATGAAGAAGAGGGGACACATGTTGATGTAGAAGAGACATGAAGAAGAGGGGACACATGTTGATGTAGAAGAGACATGAAGAGAGGGGACACATGTTGATGTCGAAGAGACATGTAGAAGAGGGGACACATGTTGATGTAGAAGAGACATGAAGAAGAGGGGACACATGTTGATGTAGAAGAGACATGAAGAAGAGGGGACACATGTTGATGTAGAAGAGACATGAAGAAGAGGGGACACATGTTGATGTAGAAGAGACATGAAGAAGAGGGGACACATGTTGATGTAGAAGAGACATGAAGAAGAGGGGACACATGTTGATGTAGAAGAGACATGGAGAAGAGGGGACACATGTTGATGTAGAAGAGACATGAAGAAGAGGGGACACATGTTGATGTCGAAGAGACATGTAGAAGAGGGGACACATGTTGATGTAGAAGAGACATGAAGAAGAGGGGACACATGTTGATGTAGAAGAGACATGAAGAAGAGGGGACACATGTTGATGTAGAAGAGACATGAAGAAGAGGGGACACATGTTGATGTAGAAGAGACATGAAGAAGAGGGGACACATGTTGATGTAGAAGAGACATGAAGAAGAGGGGACACATGTTGATGTAGAAGAGACATGAAGAAGAGGGGACACATGTTGATGTAGAAGAGACATGAAGAAGAGGGGACACATGTTGATGTAGAAGAGACATGAAGAAGAGGGGACACATGTTGATGTAGAAGAGACATGAAGAAGAGGGGACACATGTTGATGTAGAAGAGACATGAAGAAGAGGGGACACATGTTGATGTAGAAGAGACATGAAGAAGTGGATTTTGTATAATAGGTGACCTTTAAACAATCACCATTTGGACCAACGTAATACTTTACTAAGCCTGAGACCCTCACCATGCTGTGGCCCCTCAGCAGCAGCGGGGAGATCTCGCTGACGGGAGGCGAGTATCCGTAGTCGTCGCAGGGCAGCTCCCCGCGGCGCCGGCGCCCGTGAGAAACCCCGTTCTGGCCGTAGTTCCGCGGGCAGAGGACCCGGTAGAGACAGAAGAGCAGCAGAACCAGCAGGACCCCCGCCGCCAGACCCAGAGCCGCAACCCTGGAGAGGAGGAGGGGGGAAAGAGGAGGATATGTGTATTTTAATCAGCTAAACACTTCTGTTTTCCTGCAGCATAATCAGGATTGTGGGAAACGGTATTTCGATCTCTCCGTCTGTACACACTAACTGGAAGATTGACCATAAAGTTGACTTTGATCCAAACCATTGTTAAAGTGTGCAGTTTGGACAACAACGGCCTTCTAGAGGTCACATTTAAATACGATTTCATTTCATTCCTGTTCCATAGTGAAATATATGTTATTACATATTACAATTCGTAGCTATTTAAATGCTGCTACTCATCTTGTTGCCTTGGATGATGAACTTATTTCCCTTTATTTTAGTTTCTTATTACTAATTTGTACTTCTCTCTTGTTTAAACGTGTTAGTTACTTTATTATTGCTTTGCTCTTTATCTGCTATGTCACTTTTCTTTTAGATTTCCCAGCTGTGGGACTACTAAAGGAATTCTGATTTGTTTAACTACAATACAATTATTTGTTTTACAGTAGCCCAACATGCATTTCCTCTAAAGGCTTTTTCCACATTGTTAACAACTTTTGAATGACTTCAGGTCTGCAAGTTAGTAAATAAGTGTTTACATGTTTAAGATGTTACTTTTAAGTAAAAAAATTAGACTGTAGATACATTCTGACACAAAACACCGGAGAGCTCTGAGCCACACCTCAAAAATATTCAACTGGTTAAACTGAAATGGGCAATTGTTGTAGTGAAGGTGTTTGAAATGTAACTCTAAGTCTAAGATAAGTAATCCTGAAGTAATCCTTCAGAAACAGGTGATTTAAAGTATAGGATGAGTGACTATTGTTGTTCTATGACATGTCTGACATAGTATTACAGTATCTTTCTTGTAGCGCTAAATGTTCTCACTGCTCACTTGTGTTTTGTTGCCACTCATCACTCTGCTCGACAGCTACTGATTGGAAGTATCATCGTCAGATACAAGTGTGACTGAAAGTATCCACCGTCATGCTTCCACAGTGACATATCTCTGCTTCTTCCACTCTCATCTGGGGAATGTGCTATAACTGTGATGATAAACCAGAGACCTGAAATACCAGTCTCTGTTACTGAGGAAGGTTGTGTCATTTAACAAAAGACGTAAGGTGTAGAGTGACATTTGTATTAGACAGTAGAAAGGAAATGAGCCGTATTTGTATTCTCCATTATGCACTGTTACTTAATGTTGTTTATTTCCATGGCCATTTATGGCGCATTTCCACTGCAGGCCTCGCTCGGTATGGCTAGGCCTCGTTAGGCCCGGCTCACTTTATGCTGCGTTTCCATTACAGTTTAGGAACTGGGGTAGTTACTATAGTAACGCAGTGTAGGTGGAGCCGTGACGTCATCTTCAATGAGAACCCCAGAAAAACAACACAGCTGTTAGCTGTTAGCACTCAGAGCTCACAGCTCCTCATATCTGTTCAGAAACTAGACAAAAGTTAAACAAGTACAAACCACAGACTGCCTGTGTCATGGTGAATACAGTCGCTGGTTTATTTATGTCTGTAGGCCGTTGTTGTGAGTGTGGACGGTCGGAGCATAATAACGTTAGCTTAGCCTTTAGAAAACACGCATTTTAAAAAGGGTTTTTCGCCTGCCGTCTGTCTGCAGACTTGTCAAATCATTAATTCATGGTTTTTACTAACCGGTATCAGTATGTTGTTAATTCGGCATCATTTTGAAACGTGTATTACAATTAAATCACGGTCAAATATGTTCATCTTGTTGTAGTTGTAGCCCCCTTGCCAGCGATTCTCTCTCTAGTTTAGCATACTCAGCCCGACTCAGCCCGGTTGTTCCTGGCCCTAGAACCACGATTTTATGGGGCCAGAAAAACTGTGAATTAGGACCCGCTAGCCGGTACCAGGCCAAGTGGAAACGCAACCAAAAACGGGCCCGGCACGCTTAAAGCGAGCTACCCGCTGCGGTGGAAACGCGCCAATATTGTATTCTATGTTTCTTAACAGTTTTTTAAGTTGAATTGGGAGGGGATGGGTTAGTGTGAAGGGGAATTATTTGTTTAATTGGATAGAAATACACTTCTTTGATAATATCACTGTATGAGTGTATCTGTCCTTCAATAAAAAAACATAGTAAATAAGCAAAACATTTCAAAAAGACGGCCCAGAACAGACACAAACCCTGGATGCTTTGATGACATTTCCAGCATCTTATAACCCAATGAAGACCATTTAAAATGAAGCTTTATCCTAATGGTTGCTTGATTTATAATGAGCAACCAGGCTGATAAACGCACAGTTAGCACAGGATCTTTTTGGGGCTGTCCAATTCCAATTGAACTGGGTTTTTTGTGAGTTTAACATGAGACACTCACTGAGTTGTAAGGCTGTTCTCGTGACCAAGCCCGCCTTAACTTGCCATCAGGCCCTGGGGCTGATTTTGTAGGCCCCCTATTTAAACAACAAATCAAAGTCATTTATACCCTTGGCAGGCTCTGTGATCGCACTTCTCCACTCTGCTCTATGCGCGCCTGGTCCTCTCCTCCAGACGAGTGACGTATCGGGCCTCCCACATGTATTTGTCCGGTTGCCGTTGGCTCCCCTCCACGTAGCAAGTCCTTGTCGTCCTCTCCATCTCCTCCAACAGATAATGTCGTCCCTCCTGTCTGTTTTTCCTCTCCCGCTACTCCATCGCTATCAGAACCAGACGGCCTACTTGGCTCCGCAGCCGGCACCGCTGCCGCTCGGTACAGAACTAATCTGTCCTTCCTCCTCATCCTGGCCTACAGGTTTAAAATAACCTGTAAGCTTCGGCATTTTTTTGTAATAGCTGCTTGTCTCGAAACTCCTTTTCCCTCAACAATTTCCTTTTCCGAGCGCCACTCTCAAACTTTTTCTTCTCCGACATTTTCTCCTAAACAACCTTCATCTGTCACTCAATCACTCGCAATTTGAATAAGTCACATGTGAAACATATTCTCATTCTGATTGGCTGTTAAGTGGTGCCCACTGACTGTTACGGAGTCATCTCTGGAATCCATCGATCTGATTGATTAGCGGAGCAAATGATCAAAATACTAGGGAAGATATTTGCGTTTGGATTACTGGTCTGGGGGAAGCTCACGAGTGTGTGTGTGTGTGTGTGTGTGTGTGTTCGTGTGTGTGTGTTCGTGTGTGTGTGTATACATGTGTGTGTGTTTGTGTATTTTTGCGTTTGTGTGTATTGTGTTTGTTTCCCGGGGAAAACCCTCACGAGAAACACCGGCTGTTGTTATGCCTGCTGTGACGTAAAGTTACTCCATTCTCTGCTTGTAATTATGCCAAAGCTTCAAAGTTGTATTTATCACCTGAATTTGCCGAAACAAGTTGATCCGAAAAAATGATCCGGCTCACTAACGGAAAAAGACAGTATCTATAAGGGACGGCTCGAGTCAAAATTCAAGCACCATCTCAGTCCTGGTCTGGCGGAGACCCCCCCCCCCCCCCCCCCCCTCGTCCGAATGACTTTAAAGTTACGGCAGAACCACAGTCCCTGTTCTAACCCTTCAAAATGATGCCCAGACATCAGATCTTCTCAGTCAGATTTCAAAACAACGCTAACAGCGGAGCTCCTTCTCCAACAGACTGCTGCAGCTCCGCTGTCACAAGGGCAGACACAGGAACACATTCCTGCCCACTGCAATAACTCAGTAGAACAAATCACCTCCGGCTGGCAGAGAACTCTCTGCTCCACAGCTTCTCTTGGACTTAAAACCCCACAGTACATTTTACATTTATATAATCAGTTTAATATTCAATATTCCATCCCTCACATATGTATATATAACAACTTGCGTTATCTCTTGTTATTGTTCATTTGTAAATTCCACATGTATATTTTCTACTTTCTTTGTATTGTTCAATGCCGTGTCTTTTTATGCTGCTGCAACACAAACATTTCCCAAATTGGGATCAATAAAGTACTTCTCATCTTAACGCGACTTCTCCCGGTCACCGAGCAAAACATGAACACTGCCATCGTGTCACCTTATTTACCGATGGTGGTAAAGAGGGTTAACATCGATGCCTAAGTCTCACTGATGTAAGTTATTTTTTTAAATGTATATGTTCTGGTACTCGGTTTGCCAAAAACCGCAGGATTTTGTTGCTGTAATGTGAGATTGTGCAGACACCCTTATGTAAAGTAGAGATGTAACTGTTCATTGCTTTTATTTTTATATAAATATGGCGTTAGTGCAAACATTGCACTATAACTTAAGCTGAAGCTAACAGTAATAGCTATAAGATCTAT